TATATATAAACAATTTTACGTTCGGGCACAATCGCTAGCATTGTGCCACACTACCCTTCCCTACTGTGTTCTGATCAAACACGACCCTCCCAACTTAGTCATAACTAAGTTTCTATTATATTCCTGATGCCATCCATATAGCTTTCACCGTCTCGGCCTGCATCCTGCTGTTATTTGGTTGTGTGACGCGCCCAGGCGGTGCGTTGCACTTGGCTCATAATTTGGCTGCGGTTGGGCACTTTTTCGCTGGTGCTGCGTTGTATGAAGCTGGGCGTGGCTGAGAGCTTCCGTTGGTTGGTCACAATTCCCGCTTCGTCGGTGACCTTTAGCATCACTGTGTTGAAGCGAGACTCATTGTTGACATTGCGTATGTGCGGCGATGATGGTGACGTTGAGTCCAGCGTCGACGAGGAGCGGCTGGATTCACGAGTACCGGAGGGACTACTTCCGGCTATGTTGCCGTTGGAAGCGACCGTTACCATCGGCCCACTTAGTGGTTCCATAAGTTGTTCATCTAAAAGGTTGTTCAGATTCTGGTCGATGCTGCTGAGTCGTAGCGCTTCCGCATCATGCAGTTGTTGTTGCTGGTGTTGCCGCTGCGGGCTGTTTGTGTAAGAATTGCGTGTGAGTGTGCTCATCGGCGATGGCGTCAACTGACCCGACAGTGGGCTCGGTGAGCTGAGGAAGTTGAAATTGCTGGCGGTATTGTTGTTGTTGGCTGGGCTGCAGGACATCGGATTGACGTAGAAGAACGAGTTGCGGGGCGACGGTGTTTGCTGTGCATTGGACAGCGGAACCAACGCGCTCGCATTGCGCGCGCCAAGATTAAGCGCCTGTAGTCGGTTCAACAGCTCCTGGTTGACCTGAAAAAGGTCTTTGGATAGCGCGTCTTGCTGCGACTGCGTAGCTTGTGCGTTGAGCTGCTGCAGCTGATTGCTAATGCTCTGCAGTTGGTTTATTGTGGGAAATGGGCTGGTGTTGTTATTGTTGGTGTTGCTGCTACTACTGCTGTTAGCAGAGCTCGCTGTTGTGGCGATGTTCAAGTGCAGCTGTGACTGAGGCATCGAGGCAGCCGAGGAGGGTGTTGTCAATTGTTGTTGGGCAACTGAGACCGGCGGCGATGGTTGCTGCTGCTGTTGTACAGCATTAATATTCTGGATATTTTGTATGTTTTGACTCTGCTGATTCAACCCGCTCAATTGATGACTGAGTGATGTCAGCTGTTGGTTAATCGAACCAAGGCTACTGATTTGTTGATTTATGGTGGCCAAGTTGTTATTGTTGCCAGTGGCTTGCAGAAGCATTTGCAGCTGCGTAACGGTGGGGAGAGAGGGGTAAATATAAGTGAATTATTTTCTCAATGGTTTTCTTTTACTTTGCTTTACAAAGCACAACAACGTAAAACAATGAACGGCAAATAAAAGGCAGAAATGCTAGACGTGCGAAAAAAATATAAAACGTTGAGAAATAGCAAGCGAAACAAAGCGGCGCACAGGGGAAGCACTGTATAAAATGTGGGCAAAAAAAAATTATGGATGGATTTAAATGAAAATTCGCTTCTTAGTAAAATTGAGATCGCTAAATTCAAAAATGCAATTGGTTTTGGGATAACTTTCATACTTTCATAACTACAGTTTGAAGTTGAAAATTTTGGTTCTTGTGACATTTACATAGCTATGTACATATAGTTCGTTCTATTTTCAAAAGTGAGATGTCAATGACAGGGATTGGCTGTAGATTTGCAGTAAAGTTTTATTTTTTTGAAACTTTATTTGAAATTTTATTAAAATTATTTAATAAGGTAAAAGAATTAGTTATTACAATATAGGTATCAATCGCAATGGGTTTCAAAATCCTTTAACTCTAAACTAAACGTAGAACAGTTGCCACATGTTTAAAAATCAAATTCATTTTAACTAAGGGAATAAGGTAACTGAAATATGTATATCAATATGGGTATCACACAAAAGAAAAAATTGGACATATTAAGCAAGAAATAAGTGAAGAGTAAAAACATTCCTGAGTTAATTTAAGAGTGCAGTAATTTTAACGGAATATAATCAGAACAAATCACTGATTGACAATGTATAAAATAACAAATACGATGTCGTAAACGTTTTGTTTGACACAATTATTATTTAAGTTTAACTAAATTTGACAAACAGGTGGCAACCCTCTTCGTAATATTTGCAAGCTAAAACCTTCTAAAACTCCAATATGGTGATACTTATCTATTTTAATAAAATCATTCCTTTAGTTCCAATGGAATTTGATCTTTTTAACAGGTGGCAACCCTCTACATGTAGTTAATAAATCAGGGTTATGCACGCTGCACTAAATCGAAATTTTCAATACCACTATGGTTAGTGATAGTGCATTTCAAATTTTACTATGTATCACTCTCTGGTTATCGGTAAGGGAATGAAAATTTCACTATCACTGACTAATTACACCGATTTAGAAATTTAGAAAAGTTTGGCAATCTTTGATTTTAATATCCATTTCCTTACAACAGGTTTGAACAAAAATGTATAGCCGCTAACCATATAGTGGTAGTGAAATGCATTTCTACTAAGTGCATAGTGGCAGTGAAACTAATTTTTCACTAACAATATGCACTTAGTGGTAATGCATTTCACTAAGTGCTTAGTGGTAGTGAACAAAATTTGTCACTACCACTAGGTGCTCAGTGTTAGTGAAAAAAATGTTCACTAACACTGTATGGTTAGTGGTAGTGACAAATTATTTTCACTGCCACTATGCACTTAGTGCTAATGCATTTCAAATTTCACTACCACTGTACGAATAGTGGTAATAAAATGCCCAGTGCGTTAAAAATTTAGTGCAGCGTGCCCAACCCTGTAAGAAATAAACCCTTTTCATAAACATTTTGATTGATACCCAGCTCTTAATAATTCATTTAACTTATTAAAAAATTTGAATTAAACTTTTTAATAGGTGGCAACTCTTAACAAAAAAATAAACCATTATTGTCTACAGGTAAAGCTTTTTAATGTGACACTTCATTTTTGAAAATAGAACGAATCGTGTAGATCTGACAAAAAATGAAAAAATGATTATGCATTAGCAAAAAACGCATTACTTCAAAAAGTGCACAAAATTAGCAGGTTTTTATTTCTTCTTTCGAAAGCTAAAAACCCGTACTAGTTAATAACATAATAAATAATTACATATATTGTTTAATCATTCCATTAAAATTTACCATTTTTTGAAATTCTTATCAAAAAAAATTGTTTTTCTGGAATTTAATTTTATTCCAAAATTTGTATTCCTGTAGTTCTCTACTATCTATATGGAAATAAAAAGCGTCAAACCAACATTTTATTTCAAAGAATGCATTTTTGACATTTGTTTCGGTGAAGAGCTTACGCATGACTATGCTCTTATTAAAATTCTTAGTATACAATTTTTCGACTTTAGTGGCTTTCTGGTGACATAAAGATTACTTTATTGGAATATTTCTGTTTGATTCTTTTTAGTGGATAAATTATCTTTACAAAAATACAAAACACGTTCACATTATTGACAACGAATTTTTAGATTTTTGCCCACTCAGGCGGCACTGTGCGGCGGCAGTAAAAAATGTACTGCCTTTCGAACAACAAATTGGACACAAAGTAGATTAGATTTTTTAAATAAATATGCATATATGTATATGTATATGTGTATATAGAGACATGCTGCATGCAATTAGATTGACGTCATTTGCCAGGTAAGCCATAGAGACATGCTGCATGCAATTAGATTGACGTCATTTGCCAGGTAAGCGCTTAAGTGCCAGACCTTGCATCGGCGGCAGTGCTAAAGTAAGATTAAATACTTAAAATTAAAAACAACAACAAAAGCAGTACTAAAAAATGTATGTGTATGTAAGTACCTGCGGTGCCATGCCGATGTTGGCCGATGTCAGTCCGGTGGTCTGCTGTTCATTGTAAGCACCCAGTGAAGCTAAATGCTCAAGCAACTCACGATTCTGTTGCAAGAGTTGCTGTGTGCGTGCCTAAAAAATATGAAGGAAATAGAGAATTTTACATAGAAACTATCCAGGTGCAGGCTTTTGTTGTTGCATATTTTACCCACCTGAGCTTCGATACGCGCATTCGTTTCCGATATGAGCTGCTCACGTACCAACATCAACTGCGCCAATGCCTGCCGAGTTTGTATGGCCTGTTGCTCCAACTGATCTTTTAGTTTGCTGATCTCATGGCTCGGTGACGAGGGTGTTGTGGGTGACTTGTCTTCGTCAGCAGTCTGGAAATGGAGGAAAGATTTAATTAAAGTAAACTAAAGTAACTGGTTATTAAAAGAGATTAGCTCCGCTGAAAGCGGTAAAGTTTGTTATAAGGGGTTATGTTGACCTCAGATAATGGAATAAATGGTTTTTGGAAGGACTTAAAGGTATACTTAATTTTTATTGTTAGTGTAAAAATAATATTTTTGCGTAGGTTTTAAAACCAAAATACTTATTAATTTAATCAGGTGGGCTTTAAGCTCCAAGATCTTGTTCGGAGGAAAATCGAAATGAAAGCCTCTCAACCGGCATTTAAAATAGGGAAATGGTTACAATTTTATAGCATAGTTTAAGTAAAACAAAAAATCAGGATTTTTGAAAACCCACTATTGCTCCTCTGGCTCTTCTATATATAAATGTACATAGATCTAGGAATACTCATAAGATTCGCTGCGTAGGTGCTCTTAATTCTGCGCATGAACAATGTACATTCTTTTGCAGGCACGGTTGCCCACCGTCCCGTTTTCGGCGGGACTATCCCGGATTTAGGTACAATACCTGCCGGAACGCAAAATGTCCCGGTCTTTGTAAAGAAAAATATTTTAAATATTCTATTTACTAATCGCCACTATACGCCGTATAGTAAAAGTAAAATTTGTAATTGTGTCCCACTTAAAATGAATGAAGTACAAAGNCTCATAAGATTCGCTGCGTATGTGCTCTTAATTCTGCGCATGTACAATGTACATTCTTTTGCAGGCACGGTTGCCCACCGTCCCGTTTTCGGCGGGACTATCCCGGATTTAGGTACAATACCTGCCGGAACGCAAAATGTCCCGGTCTTTGTAAAGAAAAATATTTTAAATATTCTATTTACTAATCGCCACTATACGCCGTATAGTAAAAGTAAAATTTGTAATTGTGTCCCACTTAAAATGAATGAAGTACAAAGTATGTTCGATATTTTTTTTGTTTGGGAGAAACCATGATAAAAACATTACAAGGTAAATTCATTCTCTCATTTCATTGGCCATGATTTTTTTCTGACGTTTGCCAACATTTTAAAATCATATAAAATTGAAAATAAAAAAATTAAATTGTTCACAATTGTTGTTGTTTGAGATTGAAAATGAGAATGTGTGTGTGAGTTTGAGTTTTGATTTTAAAATTATATTGTTGGCAAACGTCAGACTGCCTCTCAATGGTTTTACCTTGTTATGTTTTTATCATGGAAGAAACTACCTGCAAAGAAATTCCCAAATGTCAATATGATTTTATATTAACTTCAAACTGACACATTGTTATACTAAAATGCCAACGTGTGGGCAAATTTATTGAATTTCTCTGAGTTTTGCACGAAGTTAAGAAATTTTTTTATGTTTTTTGTTGTATTATCAACAATATTTTTATCAAAAA